CCTGCATTGCGGCACATGCTGCGTCACTTGGCGGGCGATTGTTACTTGACCTGTGCGTTCTCACTGTCTCTCGTTATCGCCTTAGCCGCTGCGGCCGCCAGGTACCTTTGCGCCGAGTCGTTTGCACTTCCACTCATTTGTTTGCATCACTTCAAGAAAGCAGCACGCGTAAGCGCAAGGTCTGGCCAGAGGTGGAGGAGAAGGAGGAGGTGCAGAAGGTGAAGGTGAAGGAGGTAAAGGATGATGATGAGGAGGAGGAGGAGCCCCAGGCACGATGCAGGCCTGGGCGGTTGCGACGTTCGAGAGCACCTCGCCGAACACGTGCAACATCAACGACAACAAGTGCAGCAGCAGCAACAACAACAACCACAATCACACCGACAACAAAAACAGCAACAGCAACACCAGCGGCACCACCACGACCAACAACAGCCAAAACAAGAACGACACGAGCAAAACCAACAACACTGTATGTTCGGACGAACCTGCAGTTCCACTCGCCCCAGGAGCCAATCCGAAATCAGAATGTTGTCAATGTTCGTTGTTTAGTGGATTGATTGTCTTTGCTGTTCGTTTCCAATGGCTTTCTTCCCCCCTCCCCCTCCAGTCGGATTCCATGGGGGTCCTGTCGAATCCTGGCGGATCCCCACGAATCCTTGCGAAACCCAGGAATCATTCGAGATCCTGCCGGGCCCTTCTTCCAGGTTCCCCAATAGCGCCGCCTTAGTCAGGACTCTTCAGTACGGAACCTTTTACAATCCTTACTGGACAGTTTCTGTAAAGGAGGTAATCCTTAGTTGAAATCTTTCGTAACTAACTTTGGAGTTTATAGTGAAGAAATCCTTACCATAAGTTCTTCGCACATGGTCCGTATAGTAAGCTCATAGAGCACCTTTCGTACGGAATCGGTCGCGAACACCCCTGGGGAAACAATCGTTCGGGATCAGGATGAAGGAATCTCGAGTCGGGAACCCTGTACGAAACACGGTTTTTACGACTATGAGATCCTTACGAAGGAATCCGTGCTAGTAAAACGTATTCAGGAGTTTTTGGTTGTAGAAACGTATGGAGGAAGTTCTGGCCACACACATATATATATATATATACATATATATATATATATGTATGTATGTATGTATGTATGCGCGTGTGTGTTAAGGAATTCTGGCTACGGTATCCGTAGTAAGTTGTCCCCATGAAGGAATCCAGATTAACGGGCATTGTTCGGGAATCTTGCGTACGCATGTTTAAGCAGCGTTTCTTCAACAAGGATTCCTTAGTGCGGAATCTTGTGTCAGGAATTGCCAAGAAGGGGCGTTGACTAGGAACTCCTTTTGCAAGGAACCCTTGATTTGGAATTCTGCATAACGCATCCTCAGAAAGAGCCCTCGTGAAGCGGAGCCCTCAATGTGGAATCCGCACGTGGGGTCCTTACTCGGGAAGCCTCTTCTTATGGCGGCCGTCGGGCCCGGGAACAATTGGCAAGGGGTCCTTGATCTTCAACCAGGAACCCGACGCACGTGATTTTTCGCACGGAAGCCCACGCAGTAGGGATTCTTGTTTTGGTGCCCTCAGCCATTCCTATGGAATCCAAAGGGAGGAATCCGATCAGCAGAACCTTTGCGAGACGCCCTTCGCCAGGGACCCTTAAGACGGGAGCCTGGCATGGGAAGCCGCGTGTCGGATCATTGTGCACCGCCTCCTTCAGTTAGAACCCTGTAAGAAAGAATTCGTCGCGAGAAATCTTTTCCAGGGAATTCTCCATAAGGTACCTTGGTTAAGAAACCCTGAATACGCCCAGCGAAGAGCGCGCGCGCAGACATCAAACGCATCGAACCCAGGCCAGGGGGGGCACGGTAACGGAATCTTTGCTGAGGAGCCTTCGATCGCCAGGCGCCCTGAGTAAAGGCTCCTGGCTAAATGGGGCCTGCAGGAATGGTTCATGTGCCAGGGGTGTTTTGGCCGTTGCGACAAACCGCCGTATTGGTTGCTCTGCGACGTAGTGTTGGTCAGCGGTGGCAGTGTACAGTGCTAAGGGAAGCTCGTGCATGTGCTGGCCTCTTGGTATTCCTGTTCGGTAGTGCGCCAGGTCGTTGTTGAGCTTGCGCGGCATCGCGCAAGTGCTCGCATAGGGGTTCGGGCGCAGGATTGCAATGCTGTGCCGCTTGAGACGTATCAGTTTCATGGTCTCTGTGGTGATGTAGGCTTGACGGGGTGTACGGTCGTCTGTTGGCCAGCATTATGCCGTTGGTGCGTGAACCGCACCGATGGTCATTTGGTGATGCTTGTTACCGTGCGTCTCCCATTTTGGCGGCAGCTGGCTGCCGAGTAGGTTGGCGAATTGGGTTTGCCTGGTCGGGCCCTGCATCTCGACTGGATCATATGGCGATTGCTTCCTCCGTGCTTTGGTACGCCGCCCCTCCTCCTCCCGCTCCTCTTCCTCCTCCTTCTCCTGAACCTCTGTGCCCTCCTCAACCTCTTCCTCGTCCTTGCCCCGTTCAGCCTCCCAGCATTGCCATCGAACGCGACGTATCTCACTGCATACGCGCTATAACTCACGAGGCAATGACATTCAGAGTCCGCGGATGGCGCGGGCATTTGTCGAAGGCCGCTTCGGGGTGATCTGCCGATGGGATGCCAGAGCAGGGGCTGGCGCCGTAGCGGCCCACTAGCTGCAGGCGAGCTTGACCTTGAAGATGCTACCCCGTCTCTGCCTCGTCCTCCTCGCGATGTCAGTGGAGCCCTCTCAGTCGCGGGCCAGGAGGCGCAGCCGCTCCGTTGCGCACCGTTGCCCGCGTCGGCCGACCAGGGGCGCGCGCCCTGCGGCCCCGAATCCGCGCGCCGCGGCACGCCGCGAGGCGATGAGCCAGGAAACGCCACCGGGGAGGAGGGGGGGAGGGGGAGGAGGAGTTGGAGGAGGAGGAGGAGGAAGATGAGGTGGACCGTAGCCATTTTGGCTCAAGTCCGTAGCGGTTTCGGCTCAGTACTTGGGAATTTGGCAGGGGGGATCGACGGCCCCCGAAGGCGTTCTCTCTAGTGGCACCAGCCAGGGACGCGTTTCATTCGATACGCAACTCAGGTTTTCGTGCCCATTGCCACGCACATCTTGCGCGATGGCACCTTGGCACCAAGGCCCTCGTCAGCCTCTCTCGGCTTTGCATGGGGCGGCGCCGTGGACCTGCGGCCCCTGCGGCGTCGGCGGCAACTTCGCGGCGAAGATGCAGCGCCGCGCCTGCCTCGCGCCAGCGCCGCGAGCCATCCAGCAGGCCATCGCCCGAGCGGCCGAGGCGGATCCGCCCGCCTGCGTGCCGCGGCAGCCCGTCGGCAAGGGCGCCAAGGGCAAGGGCTCTGCTGCTGGTGTTCGCAAGCATGCTGGCGGTGTTCGGGGCTACTTCTGCGCCGGCGTGGACTTGTTCAAGAGCCGGCCCAAACAGCAGCAGCAGCAGCAGCAGCAGCAGGCGCAGGAGCACAGATGGGGCCGATCCCATCGCCGCCCTCGACAATTCCATCGCCGCCGTCGAGGCGCTGGGCGACAGCAGCCGGGCCGATGTCCCCGAGCGCAAGCGGGGGGCGCGCGCCGACCTGGTGGCGGAGCCGCGAGCTAGGAAGCCTCTCTACCAGCAGCTGCAGCAGCTGGAGGGCAAGATGGCGGCAGCGGACAAACAGCTTGGGCGCCAGCGCGAGGGGGTCGTGCCCGACCTCGAGCGGCGGCTGGCCCAGGCGAAAGAGCAGGAACGATTGGTCCCAGGAGTTGGACGCCCCGCAGCAGGGGAAGGCGGCGCTCGCCCAGCGCCTGGCGCAGCAGCAGCAGCCGCAGCCTGCAGGTGCACCGCGCGCGGCAGGTGGCCCTCGCTCCGGGCCCGCAGTGGTGCAGCAGCTGGTGCAAGGGCTTGAGGCGCTGGCGGGCAAGGCTGGCGAGTCTGGCGGCAACGCCAACATGGCGGGCGCAGCGAGCAGCTCCCGGCCAGCGTCGCGCAGGCGTTGCGTAACCTCCTGGAGATGGTCAAGGGGGTGGATGCCCCAGTGTGGGGCCGCCGCGGCCGCTGCGCCTACAGCGCCGCCCGCCGCCGAGACCTCGCACGCCATTGGTGCGCGCGTCGAGGGCCCGCCCGCCGCTGGGGGGGGCCCTGGCGCAGGCGCTGGCGACGGCGCGCAGGCGCGCGTCGGCGCTCCCGCCCCCGTCGACTTGGAGGGCGCCAAGCGCAAGCGCGACGAGCTCATCGAGCAGTGCGTGGCGGACCTCCCCGAGGAGCGGGCGGCCAAGCGGGTCGTGTTGGGCTGTTCTACGAGAGGCATGGCGAGGCGGCGTTGCCCAGGCAGCAAGGGGAAAAATCGCCCCGCCGCAGGCCGCGGCCAACGGTGCCGAGGGCGCCGCCAGCCCCGATGCGGCTCGCCACATGATCGCTTCCTCCTTCAACACCAACCTGTCCTGGGGCCGCTTGGGGGAGTTCCTGGAGGAGGAGGTGAACACCATGATCGCGCAGGGCGGTGCGCCCGTCATCGCAGTCCACGAGCATGCCAAACCCGAGGACTGGTTTCATCAGGTTTCGGCGTCGACCGTGCAGGTCCGAGGGCGGCGCGCGGTCGGCGCGCTTGCCGTTTGCGCCGCGGAGGCTGGCCACTGAGCCGGCGTTGCCTCGGCCACCCCCGCCTGCTCAGCGCTGGCCATGGCTCCTGGGCAAGGGGCCTGGGACATTTCACCAGCTGGAGCTCCAGGGCGTCTTTGCCTGGGCACGACGGAGGTCAAGGGCGTCGGCTGGGTCGCCTTATGCTCCGTCTATCCCGTCACGGGCAAACCAGTCACGCGGTGCTGCGGCGCCTCCATGCCGGACGCCGTCGCCCACTGGGCGCGCCAGATGCGGATCCCGTGGGTCGCCGTGTGAGATTTCAACAACGAGCCCGATAGTATATTGCACAGCCCCTGGAACCATGAGATCAAGGGGCACGCTCTGGCATGGCACGGGGAGGGCGGCGCATGCCGCTCGAAGACTGTCGAGCAGGACGTGGGGCAGTTCGCTGACAGGGCCATCGATTTCTATTGGATGGACGCGCGTTTGGCTTCCATCTTCGAGGACGTGCACTCCAACGAGAACATGCCCTACAGGCCTCGCAGGCCCACCTGGATAAGGGTCGCCCTGCCCTGGCACGCCTACGTCGCGCAGGTCATTGAGCGCCCCAAGTGATACCCCACCGAGCGCCCGCCACCGGTGCAGCCGCCTGCCGCGCCAGGGCCGCGCCCCGAGTTCGACCTCGACCACGGCGCGGCGGAGGGCCTGGATTGCAGTTGGCAGGGTTTCTGCAAGGCTGCGGAAGCTGAGCTGCGCGCGCTGTTCGGATGGGCCCATGCTGAGGCGCGGGGGCGCGGAGGTCGGCGCGCGACTCCTGAAGTGGTCAAGCGACAACTGCCCCCGAAGCAGCCGAGCCCCATTGCGGACCCAGGGCCGGCTAGGGCTTGGAGATGGGCCGCGCGCGAGCTGGCATGGATTAACCAGCTAGTCTGCGGTCTCCTGCGGGGCGAGCCCAAGCCCAGGGATGGATCCCTGCGGGGCGTGCCGGAACAGCCCTCTCCGGAACGTCTGGATATCCACAGCGACGCGGGGGGCCGACCCACCACTTCAGGAGGCGCGCCTCTGCGGGGCTACATCGTGGAGGTCTCGCAGCAGCTGCGGCGCGCCTGGCGCAGGCTTCTGCTGGCGCGGCACCACCGGGGGCAGATGGATCCCTGGGGCGCGCTCCTGTTTGCTGCGCTGCAGGCCCTCGCCGCGGGCGACCGCGCGGCCCCCATTGCCGAGGCCATCTTCCGCATCCAGCGATTCGCCGAGGGCCGCGCGCAGGCCTGGGAGCAGCATGTCACGCGCCAGCGGTCGGCCAAGTTGCACGAGCGCCTCGGCGACAAGTTTCCAGGTTCGGGCGGGTACCTCCACGAGATCTGCCATTGGAAGTACGCTTGGAAAGAGCCCATCTTCGGTCCGCAAGGTCAAGCCCCCCTCCGACCCGCAGCAGGCCGTCGACCAGGAGGCGCAGGAGCGGGCCGACGTCTGGAGAGCAGGGCAGGGAGAGCGCAGCAAACTTTGGAACGAGCACCAGATAGCCCGCCAAAGAAGAGATGATGCAGCCGCCCTGCCCGTCATTGGCGCTCAACAGTTACGTGCAATTTGCCGTTGTTACAAGTGGGGGACTGGCTTGGGCTTAGATGGTTGGCACTTCGGTCATTTGGCTTGGCTTAGTGATGAATGATTGGGTTGTTTGGCCAATGCGTGGACGCTGCGCGAGCGCCTATGTCAGTGGCCGACGGCCATCCAGATGCTGATACTGTTCTTGGTTGCACAGGCGGAAGGGGAGGGCGCGCCCCATTACATTGTTCCCCGCGCCAGTTCGCACGCGGGAAGCCGCCCGCGACCCCTTGGTCCGCACCTGGGAGAAACACCGCACCAGGCCCTACGACTGGGCCGCGCCAGGTCGCAGCAGTGAATGCGCGGTCTGGCGCGCCATGCTTGGCGACGAGGTGCTCGTTGAACCTCATCTGGCTCTTCGGCCCGATGCAGGAGATGCCCATGAGCGCGTTGGCGCTGTCCTTGGAGCCCTACGCCTACCCGCGGGCCGCGCGCGAACCGCCGCCGCGTGCGCGGGCTTGCCGGCGGGGTCGAAGTCCGCCAACAGGTCCCTGAACGCGGCGCTGTTCCCCATCCTGGACCTGGTCGTGGAATGGCCAGGCGCGAAGCTAGAGCTCGCGAAGTTCGTGGGCGACCTCGCCCAGCGCCTTGTCGGCGCTGCCCGACAGCTCGCGCGCGTCTTCCCTGCGGCGGTCAAGGCGCCGGTCTGCTTGCTGGAGTAGGTGCGGCGGCTCAAGGGTTCGAAGGGCCCCCGCGGGAAGTGCAAGTTCCTGACCAGCGACGCGCACCTCCAGGAGCAGGTCGCCCCCATGATGCGCGAGATCGGCCTGCAGCCTGGGCGCAGCGAGCGATGGCTGGGCGTTGACTACCAGCCGCATGGGCGCCGCAGGAGAGCCACCAGAGCCAAGTGGGCCAAGATCGCCAGGAGCAGGTGGCGCAAGGCTGCAGTGCTCAAGCGACGTGGAATTCGAGTTCGACCAGCGGCGCAGCCAGTTCTCAAGGCGTCGGCGGCCCACGGCGCCTCCCGCGCGGGCAGCTCGCCCGCCACCGCGAAGTTCGTGGAACAGAAGACGGCGGCGGTTCGCGCCGTGGCGGGGGCCTTCCGCTCAGGCGCGCTGGGCAGGGCGCTGGCCGCCAGAGCCGACGGCGCCGAGCAGCTGCAATTAACGCCTCTCCGTGCCCGGCTGCGCGAGGCCTCGGATCATGCCGACCGACATCGAGTCATGGCGTGCGCCTGGGGCCGCCAGTGGCCGGCTGCCCATGATGCGCTGAATCTGGGCTCCGCAAGTTTTGACCATTTGGGCGGTCGTCAGATGCCCAGGTGCCGCCGCCGCGCTGACGGTTCACGAGCTGGGAAGGAGCATGACAGACCCTTGGTATATTCAGCTTCCCTGGGATGAGGTGATTGACATTCGCGAGATCCCGCTTTTTGAGATTCTGAAGAGGGCCGATCATACCATCACGCAGAGAAAGTTGACGGATTGGACGCGGGCTTCGGAAGAGCGGATGCTTTTGAGACTAGATCTTTTTTCTTGCCCCTGTACGGCAGGTAGTCAAAGCCAAGAAGGCTGACACTTGGACTCGACGCCATAGCATCTGCGAGAGGACTGCTGCTCTGGGCGGGCATCCATCACAGTCTACTTGCTACGAGCGTGGAGAAGTGGAGAGTCCGCTGTGCCCTCTTTGCCACAAGAACAATGGGACGCCCATGCACGTGCATTTCCGATGCGAAGCCGACGTCTGTTCGAAGAGCCGCAAGCAGTTGACGGATCCAGTGATCAAGGGTAACTTCAAGGACGTTGTGCACTTCGGAGAGACGGCGGCCACGCATGAGGAGCATAATTGCAGGGACAGCCACCTCTTGCACTGGAAGTGGGCTCGCGGGCTGGTCAGCAAGCCCGCGGGCACGTTCCGCCTCGAGCCGCCGTCCGACAGCAGCGCGTTCGGGGATCCCGATAGCGCCGGCGCGTCGTCGGGCCGGGCTGCCGCCGACGGCTGCGTCCTCAACCCCGAGCACGAGGAGATTTTGAGTGGAGGCTTCGCCGCTATCAGTTGGGATCGCGAGAAGAGCTGCGAGCGCCAGTCTGTGTTAGGAGCGTTCCCTGTGCGAGGCCCGCGTCGGCCCACTGCGAGATCTGGGCCGCGTTCCAAGGCGCTCGGAACTCCGCGGGGCTCGAAGGGCTCATTCTAGTTTGTAAGTCCACGGTTGAGGGTCTCTTGGTTGGCAGGGCGTCCTGCGTGGGGAGCGACCAGATCGCGGCGCACTTGTGGCGCCGCGTTTGGGAGTTCTGGATGAGCAAGGGCTTGCGCCAAGCCAGAATTTCCGCGTGATTAAAATAAAGCTTCACATGACAGTAGCGCAACAAACTCGGTTATAAGTAGCACCGAAGATGCATCATTTGATGAATAAGTGCGCCGATCGTCGCGCTCGTGAAGGAGCGGGTTTTCCACGCCGCGCTTAGATGGAAGGTGGACCAGTGGAAGACGACATACAAATTGCAGATGCGGATTAAAAGTTTTGTCGCCTCGCTCCGCGTGGGACTTGGCGACTCCAAAGTAGCCGCCACGAGCACCCCCACCTCGGGAACGGGCCGGTTTTGGAAGAACGATCGCGTCGTCCGCCCAACAGCAGTTGCCGAGCGAGCTCACCGCCTCAGGCTCTTCGAAGGTGGCATTTGGAAATGTCAGTGTTGCCCCAGTCTCGTGCGCGCCCCATCGAGGCCCCCCCTGGCCAGGAGGGAAACGTGCTCGGGGTGGGACGGCGCCTTTCCAAGGGCAAGTTTCGCTTGGCCGCCCGTGCTTCGGCGTCTGGCCAGGTGTCGGGCCAACGTTTTGGCACGGTGCCTCCTGCGGGACGAACCAGAGCTCAGAGAGAGGCCCTGGGGGGACGTTCCGGAACAGCCCTGTCCGGAACGTCTGGTTCGTCTGCGGCGGCCGGAGGGCGCGACGGAGGGCGGAGGGGGTTGTCGCGACGGAAAGCGCGTTGCCTCCCCCACCCCCGTTTCGTGAACATGACGTGGTGGAGAGGGTGGGATACGCGGTTTGTCAAGCTTGCGGGGCTGTCGCTAAGTCTCGAGCTCAGAAGGCTGTTCAGAGATTGTGACGGACCCCTGCGGCGAGGGGTCGTGGCTCGCAACAGCCGCCGACTATAGAGATCGGATCCTGAATTTCTGTGATCCCTACACGAGCTAACCCGTTCGGGAAGCGGATTGATTCGAACTGTTTAGTGTTTCGGCCTGGTGGTGTGAGGTTTCAGAGGCGTGACCTCGAGGAGCCCAATGACCAAAAAAGGAGGAGGAGGAGGAGGAGGAGGAGGAGGAGGAGGAGGAGGAGGAGGAGGAGGGGGGAGGGGGAGGGGGAGGAGGAGGAGGAGGAGGCCGGCCATGCCCCAGGCAGTATCCGCGCCACGCCACACACGGGCTTCTTCTGGGGCAGCCGCGACTTCCTGTACCTGGTCTGCCGCTACGTCCGCCGCAGGCCGCCCCGCCTCTCGCCTTCTCGAGGGCGGCGGGACCGACTCGCGTTTTCGCCGCCTGCTGCCGGCCAGCATCCTGCCGTTGCTGCTCCTGGTGCCGCCCTTCGGCACGAGCGAAACGGGTACGGAAGGAACGGGTGCGATCCTCCTCCTTTTCCTCCTCCTTCCTCCTCCCCCTCCTCCTCCTCCTCCTCCTCCTCCTCCTCCTCCTCCTACTCCTCCTCCTCCTCCTCCTCCTCCTCCTCATCCTCCGCCTCCCCCTCTCCTCCTCCTCCTCCTCCTCGTCCTCCTCCTCCCCTCCTCCTCCTCCTCCTCCTCCTCATCGTTTTCCTCCTCCCCCTCCTCCTCCTCCTCCTCCTTTTTCTCCTCCTCCTCCTCCTTCTTCTCCACCCCCATCCTCCTCGTCCTCCTCCCCCTCCTCCTTTTCCTCCTCCCCCTCCTCCTCCTCCTGCTCCTCCTCCTCCTCCTCCTCCGGCCAACAGCAGTTCCTGTTCAGTTTGAACGGGACTTGTTGTCCGCGCCGCCGCGGACGATGTTCTTTGAAGGCAAAAGGCCGCCTGCCCAACAGCGGCTCCCGTCGGTCCTGGACAACTTCGGTCTGGACAATTTCGATGGGCACTGTGCCCGTTTTCTCAGTACCCCCTTCGGGTGCCGCTCCCCGTGCGCCCGCCGCCGCTGCCGCTTTTGCGGTTCCTACTCCCGGTCGCGCCCCTCCTGCGATGTTTCTGGGGCGCAGGAGACGGAGGTCAGGTGCAAACGGAGGTCAGCCAGAGCGCCCGATCTTGCAGGATCCTGCAGGGCCAGGGTCGCACTGACCCTGGCTTCGCTGCAGGAGTCTGCAGGATCTCGCAGGATCCTTCGCATTGACCCAGGGTTGGGTGCAGGATCTTGCAGGATTCTGCAAGGCCCGACTGACCTAGGTCTGGATTGAGCCGGGTCAGAAGATCCCGACGTTCAAGTGGGCGGCGCGACAGAACGGGCTCGGGTGCGCCGACATTGGCGCGTGAGCTGCTCGCGCAAGGTCGAGCGCCAGCGCCCTCGTCTCCATTGTGGCGTGTCGCGCTGACGGCCCGCGTAGGCCACCGCGCAAGGTCGCTGCGTCATCTCGCGTAGGACCCGTTCTTGAGTGACGCTGGAGCGCTGCTATTCTTACAGCTTCGACCACAAGGATCACGACAGATATGGCCTAGACGCTGGGGACCACGTTGGTCTTCTGGCCATTCCTCACACCTGGGTCGGGATACCTATTCGACGACAGTGCTCGCCGTGGCCAGAGAGGCTCCATGCGTTCTTCAGGTGGCGTTTGCCTGATTTGTACACTGTGGTGGGCGTCTCCAGTGGATACCCCATATCACTGAGGCTTTGCCAACTCTAGGGGGCCACATGCGAACCCTACCCCTACCCCTCACGATTTCTGAGGGGGAGGGTGGGGTTCACTTCGTTCGGGAGCTCCCGAGCGAAGTGAACCCCACCCTCCACCTCAGAAATCGTAGGGGGTAGGAGTAGGGTTCGCATGTGGCCCCCTAAACTCGCAAAAACCGAGTCCCCCAGTCGAAAAGCAGGAAGTCCGCAGGGGCCCCCTTCCCCTTCGGCCAGCTTCCCTTTCCGCGTCCCGTTCGCCAGTGATCTCTTACCAAGAGTACGTATTTCACGCGCCGAATGAGGCCCAAGAGTTTTGTGCAGCTGATCATCGTCGTCGATAATGAAGCAGCCAATTACAATAGTGCAGAAAAGCCGCAGGGACACCCTTCGACACTTCCATAGGATTCGCGGAGTCATTGTGGATTGGATTGTGGAGGTCCACCGACACGAACAAGTATATTTTGAATATGTGAGTACACGAGAGCAGGTGGCTGATTTGATGACAACTTTGATGCCAAGAAGCAACCGTTGTGGGTTTTCTCTTGCACATGGCTGTGATAAGCCCACGCGTTGTTCTTCCCCCCAAGTATTCGCGCCGACTCGACAGCCAACCCCACCCCGTTGAGCCACCGAAGCTCGATGGGCGTCGGGGCTGGTGTCAGATGATCCTAATAGTGCGGGATCATGTGGAGATCCGGACTGAGTGCAGTCGGTGTCGTTGTGTAGGATATCGATGCCACCAGGGACTTTGCGCATGTATGCACCAATGCGGTGTTTCCGCTGGCACCGCTAGAACGTGGCGCAACCCCCAGAAGCGGAACCCGAATCGCGCGCGTGTCATTGTCGTTCGTCCCGTCTTTCCTGCGCGCGTCGACGCCATGACTTTCCACAGCCGTTTGGGCTCAGAGCCCCAGCTTGCTGACCCTGAAACCGACCATCAAATCGACCGGGTTCCCGAATTGGTGACCTCCCCTTCAGAGGTACCACCCTGTCAGGTAATCGATGGGCCGAGCGGTCGCCAGAACTGCCCCTCGATCAAGAGGGAATTCTTGTGCAAAGTACGCCCTACAAGCCCCAGCTGTACCCAGAGAACGGCACTAAAGTCCACATCAAAGTACTGTCCCGACGGCCGTGGCACGGTCTTCTTGCGTGCATCCCGCGAGGGTGTCACTCGAGCTTCTGACGTGCGTCGAGCGCCTCGAGAACAATGCGTTCGAGACGCTGCGCCGTGTCAGTGGCATTGCGACTCCGTGGTTCGTTTCCACGGTTGTCTTTGGGACGTCAGTTGGGCACATTCTTCAGGATCCCAACATCAGAGAACGACCCAATAGGTTGCCCTTCTCTCTCTCTCTCTCTCTCTCTCTCCAGCAATATTCCCGCGGCACCAAGCGACGACGTTGTCGAGGACACTCATAGACATTGGTGCCCGGACACCAACTTGACCAAGTACATCGGCAGCATTGTCTGGAGTCTATTGAGAGAACGTTACCCTGCACTTGTACTTGCCATGGCAAACGCGCTCAGCAAACGCGTTATCATTAAGAAAGGCGCGGGGACTTCTGCGCAGGTCACTATTCCACACCTCGCGCCGACACTAGCCACGCCGAACCTCGACACGTAAACAGGCTAAGATTCCTGGACGTGTCTTCGGCATGTCGCGTTTATGTGACGCGTTTGGTTGAGTGTGGCACTTCGTCTTCAGGCATTTTCCTGGCATGGCTCAGTTCATTTTCCATGAACTCATTCAATGTGACAAACGCGTTTGCCGTAAGCCCGCTGTCGTGATCAACCTTGTGCCCGCTGGCGGGATGATGTGTTCAACTTGTCGCGGTCGACGCAGACGCCTCTTCCGATGCTCCTCAGACGCGGCTGCTTTACCCACGCCCGCGACCCAAGTCCCAGCTTCTCCTGGAAACCATCAAATGCAATATCTACCAGCCGGGAAGGAGTGAGGCACCACCGCCCAGCAACGACGCGGCGGCCGACCACGCTCTTCTTTTCGTTGTCGAACATGAAGATTGCGGCAACCCGCGCGTGACACATTTTAGCGTCAATGAGCTATTCCTACTCTCCAACGCCGAGCGCGGCTGGCCAAGATCTGCCAGGAGGACCACCCGCGGCCCTGAGCGCACCGCCGCGTCCAACATCCACCGCCGTGAGATTCGGCCCCAGGTATGGGATCACACGGCAGAAACAGGGCTCCACGAGTTGGTGCCGAGACGCTCCTACGATGGCAGATTGGCGCGCCATTCGCACGAGCGCGCGCCCCCTGCGGCCCCCGCGGCATCGGGCAAACCTACTTCCGGGGGGCCACTCTCGCGAGGATGGCTTCGCATTGTCGCGGTGTCGCGCGAGAGTGGAACCGCTCCTGCCCGCCAGGATATTTCGAAGACAACATCGCGCGACCAGGGATGGGCTCCCTGACGAACCGGAAAAATGCACGCGCGCAGACGAGATCTGCACCACGCATGAACGACCGCAAGAAGTACATCGACATGAACGAGCCCACCGCTACAAGGAATCACGGAGCATATGCTCAAATCTTGGAAAGAATCCAGAAACGCAGAATTAACGACCACGACGCCCGCGACAATGAGGGCAAGAGAAGATGCAAAGAGGTGTATAATTCATGGTGGCAAGACTGGATGAACGCTCCGCCTCCGCTCGCACGAGCCCTCTGCAAACGCCGAGTCAGCGCCACTAAGTTGCGGCACGACAACTACGTCGCGCGCGACACCACTGGACAGAAGAGAGCCGACACGCGCGAGGTCCTCAGCGGCGACAGAGAATCCGCGACGCCAATGGGACATCGCTGCATCCTTGACCCACGAGATCACGCTGCATGCGTGCCTCGACCTCACTCGGGTCTTGGACGCCATGCGCCTCCGCCACAGTCCAACCGCGATTGGTCCCGGCACCGCCTGGCATTGGGGGGCGCGCGAGGACGGAGGGGAACTCCCGCGGGCACCCCCGGCCCGACATCACCAGCGAGTCCCGGCGGCGCAGCTTCGGCGGCCATTTCTCCCCCTCAGATGCCCGCCAGGGCGCCGACGTTCCCGCGCGCGCAGTTCCGCGGCGCCAAAGCGGCAGTTTCGGCTTCGACTGCCTCTGAAGCATCATCTTCGCAGTCGCCGCAAAAGCCGCGCCTCCCACGCATTTCCTTCGGAATGTCGGGAAATTTGGAAAGCCTCCTGAAGCCGGCGCGCGATGGGTGCCGGCCCCGCCACTCGCGAGCGCGATGGGCGCGCAGCGCGCGAATTCTTACCACGCCAACACAACGTTGGCATAGGCCCGTGGTACGAGAACCTCGCCAAGACCTGATGCTAGGCAGCCGCGCTCGCGGCTGCTTCCGCTGCATGCAGAACGGCGCTTCTTGGAATATCCGTCGCGCCGCTGCTGGCCTTGCATTCCTCTGCTTGGTTGCAGGCATCTGCGCGGCTTTCCCTGAGGACGCTCTGCGCTGGGATCGGCGCTGGGCTGGCGTCACCATGGAGATGGGCGAGATCCCCGTTGGCCATTTCTGCGACCGCCGAGGAGATATCCAAGTTCATCAAGGGCACCGACGGCTCGCGGGCGGGAGCCCCCGCGGACAGCGCGGCGCCGCATCGCTGCCGAGGGCGCGGGCATTCGCGAGGCAGCT